GGGATTAGATACTACCCACACTGAGGGATTAGATACTACCCACACAGGCATCACAGATACTACCCACACTAACTATACATCACAGATACTACCCACACTAACCATACACCCACACTGAGGGATACTACCCACACTACATTAGATACTACCCACACTACATACCCACACACAGATACTACCCACACTAACCATACATCACATATACTACCCACACATACATACCAAATACTACCCACACTAACCTGTTATCATCAATACTACCTACACTAACCAGTTATCATCAATACTACCCACACTAACCAGTTATCATCAATACTACCCACACTAACCAGTTATCATCAATACTACCCACACTAACCAGTTATCATAAATACTACCCACACTAACCAGTTATCATAAATACTACCCACACTAACCAGTTATCATAAATACTACCCACACTAACCATACATCACAGATACTACCCACACTAACCAGTTATCATAAATACTACCCACACTAACCATACATCACAGATACTACCCACACTAACCAGTTTTCATAAATACTACCCACACTAACCAGTTATCATAAATACTACCCACACTAACCAGTTATCATAAATACTACCCACACTAACCAGTTATCATCAATACTACCCACACTAACTATACATCATAAATACTACCCACACTAACCAGTTATCATAAATACTACCCACACTAACCAGTTATCATAAATACTACCCACACTAACTATACATCATAAATACTACCCACACTAACCAGTTATCATAAATACTACCCACACTAACCAGTTATCATAAATACTACCCACACTAACCAGTTATCATAAATACTACCCACACTAACCAGTTATCATAAATACTACCCACACTAACCAGTTATCATAAATACTACCCACACTAACCAGTTATCATAAATACTACCCACACTAACCAGTTATCATCAATACTACCCACACTAACCAGTTATCATCAATACTACCCACACTAACCAGTTATCATCAATACTACCCACACTAACCAGTTATCATCAATACTACCCACACTAACCAGTTATCATCAATACTACCCACACTAACCAGTTATCATAAATACTACCCACACTAACCAGTTATCATCAATACTACCCACACTAACCAGTTATCATCAATACTACCCACACTAACCAGTTATCATAAATACTACCCACACTAACCAGTTATCATCAATACTACCCACACTAACCTGTTATCATCAATACTACCCACACTAACCAGTTATCATCAATACTACCCACACTAACCAGTTATCATAAATACTACCCACACTAACCAGTTATCATCAATACTACCCACACTAACCATACATCATAGATACTACCCACACTAACCAGTTATCATTATCATCAATACTACCCACACTAACCAGTTATCATCAATACTACCCACACTAACCAGTTATCATAAATACTACCCACACTAACCAGTTATCATAAATACTACCCACACTAACCAGTTATCATAAATACTACCCACACTAACCAGTTATCATCAATACTACCCACACTAACCAGTTATCATCAATACTACCCACACTAACCAGTTATCATCAATACTACCCACACTAACCTGTTATCATCAATACTACCCACACTAACCAGTTATCATCAATACTACCCACACTAACCAGTTATCATCAATACTACCCACACTAACCAGTTATCATCAATACTACCCACACTAACCAGTTATCATCAATACTACCCACACTAACCAGTTATCATCAATACTACCCACACTAACCAGTTATCATAAATACTACCCACACTAACCAGTTATCATCAATACTACCCACACTAACCAGTTATCATAAATACTACCCACACTAACCAGTTATCATCAATACTACCCACACTAACCAGTTATCATCAATACTACCCACACTAACCATACATCATAAATACTACCCACACTAACCAGTTATCATAAATACTACCCACACTAACCAGTTATCATCAATACTACCCACACTAACCATACATATATACTACCCACACTAACCAGTTATCATAAATTACCCACTCTCATATATCATATATACTACCCACACTAACCAGTTATCATAAATACTACCCACACTAACCAGTTATCATAAATACTACCCACACTAACCATACATCATAAATACTACCCACACTAACCAGTTATCATAAATACTACCCACACTAACCAGTTATCATCAATACTACCCACACTAACCATACATCATAAATACTACCCACACTAACCAGTTATCATCAATACTACCCACACTAACCAGTTATCATAAATACTACCCACACTAACCAGTTATCATCAATACTACCCACACTAACCAGTTATCATAAATACTACCCACACTAACCAGTTATCATCAATACTACCCACACTAACCAGTTATCATAAATACTACCCACACTAACCAGTTATCATAAATACTACCCACACTAACCAGTTATCATAAATACTACCCACACTAACCAGTTATCATAAATACTACCCACACTAACCATACATCATAGATACTACCCACACTAACCATACATCATAGATACTACCCACACATACATCACAGATACTACCCACACTAACCATACATCACAGATACCACCTACACATACATCACAGATACTACCCACACATACATCACAGATACTACCCACACATACATCACAGATACTACCCACACATACATCACAGATACTACCCACACATACATCACAGATACTACCCACACTAACCATACATCACAGATACTACCCACACTAACCATACATCACAGATACCACCTACACATACATCACAGATACTACCCACACATACATCACGGATACTACCTACATTTACCAAACAGCATAGCTATTACTCACACCATCAGAAATTGTAGAGAATTATTCTGACTTACCGTCCTCATTGAACATTAGTTACTTTATTATCCATAGTGTAGCGTACAGACTTTCCTAAACATAAAACAAATAAAGACACAACTGTATTATCATCACATGATTTAGACTCGATTTTGCCCCTAAATTTCAGGAGATAAGATTCTACTTGGATAAAGGACAAGGGGGATTGAATGAAGTTCTAGCGAGATGTTGGAAACTCCCAATCACAGCCTTCCTACACAAACACCACTACCCCTTGAAATCACAGAAAAAATCCCTCGCTGTAAGGCTTGATCTGGCGGATTTAGGTCCAAACGTGTTCCTCCTAATTACCTACGTCATCCGTACTTAAGTATACATTGTAACGTGTGGGTAAATCTCTAAAAATCAACGCCAGGCAAACAATGATAATTAATTCACCAATATCACAACGTTGTCCCATATCTAATTCGGGAAAACGATAATGAATATAACCGGAAGTGGACGGGGAGAAATCGATATATCCTTAAGGTTTGTAGTACGTTTATCCTGGGAACCTGAACTGAAAATTCCATTTCTTGTTTGCCGGATAGCACTGAGAATAGTTTTATGAATGTACATATCATGTTTTGTAAATAACTCCGAATAGATAGCAAAGGAGGGGCACCCACTACTGATCTTTAAGGAGAACACTTGTGTTAGAAAAGGTAACATTTGCTTAACATCGGATCTCAGATATTTGTTTTTATGATGTGTGTGGCTAATCGAACGAGGACCACGGGACGAGACGGCCAAATATTGACATCAGTCATCTCTTCGGGTGGAAAAGGAAACGACACTTAATGTGACGTCATTAAAGCGATGGTGTTAATTCTTAATACGTAACCGATCGTTATTACAACGAATCAATATAAAACCACAACAAGAAATATCGAAATATGTGACCATTCCAATATCTGTATCCATGTAATCATGTCGCTCGCTAAAATATATCACAGCCAATGGATCGACTCCAGTAACCGGATATCGCCATCTGTAATTTCTGGTATAAAGAACAAAATTATCTTGTTTGAATAGTCCTTGTGTAAATTACAACAACACAAAATTCAAACGTCAACCTTAGTTCGTAACCTGCTAATAAAACGTGTGTTTCAACTGGGAGTGTAACAGGTAAATTTGTAGGTGGTGAACCAGGCTCATTACTAGGGGTTAGTAGTGGGGTGCGCGTCAATTGGCTAGCTTTGTGTCGGAGTAAATGATCGCTACACTAAAACCAACTTTTGCCCTTTATCATGCTAACTACTGACAAGGGGTCTCGGCTGTTAAAGGTGGTAACACGAGATGGACACAAACAGTGGTTGTGAAAATGAGATATCTTAGTAAACTGTCGGCAATCGCTCAAGTGGAAAGCATATTCCCTTAGCCAATGGGAGTCGGCGGGGGAGGAGCTAATCGAACGCACACCAACACCACACTCTACGATTCTGTCATAGAAATTCCTACCTTGTTATTCATAAAAGCTTCGAAAAGCACGATGTTTTTGATTCTCAATGAAACAATATTCATCGTAAAATCACATTGAATATGGATGTATGAATGACACATTGGTCCAGTTAAACGACAGGCAATTTTTTCCCGGAGTGTGTATGTTAGTTGTTTTTGACCAGAAACACGTGTAGTTCCCGAGCTCTGCAATACTGACGGTGTCATGCCTGGAAAGGTGTACCAGGTGGCGACTCACTGGACTTAGCCCAGGATACAAGTGTTCGCAGGTGTGCCGATGTCCTGGACACTGGAGGTCATTACAATACCTTTTTGATACTGGCCACAACTCCAAATATCTAACAATGTGGGAAAACCGAAACTTAAAGTGCAGAACAATGAGGCGTTCACAGCATTGTATCATGACAGTGCCCCAGACCGACTTACTAGTGTGTGTGTTCTTTCACTTTAACAGAACCTAAATGTCAGGAATTGTGTATTGATATATCGCCCACAGGGTAATCCAAGCCAATACTGGCTCCGCGACCGCAATATTTATACATGCATGGACGACTTGCCTCCATCCTCACCAGGGAAAAGGCTGTCAGAATCAGTCTAAGGTAACAGAAAACAATGATTGGGAAAGTATTAACGAGACATTTCGGAAACAGACGGATTTTAGTGATAGTTTTATTCGTTGTTGTTGGTTTTGGAATACCTTCGCACGCGCGCATGAAAGTGCCTGCGGGCTTGACCCCCTCTGCTAAGTCTTCCAACCAAACGGAGGTGATCGAAAGACTGTCCAGGTTTTTCGGGATAGATAGGGTCCCGGCCCGGGTTATCCATAAATCCCCTCCCCAGTTTATGATCGACCTGTACGCTAGCATCACAGAACCGGGAGGATTGGTCAAACGGGAAAGCCCATACAGGGCTGACGTTATCAGGAGTTTCCCTGACAGAGGTAAGTCGGAGAAGTACATTAAGTGAGGATATATTAAGATACTATTTACCTAGTTATCATCTAATACGTGTAACCTTCCTTAGAGCTGTTAATATGATTTCCATTATTAAGTGTTGGTACAATTACAGAAGAGCCGACATTTCGGCACATAACGCTTATCACCCACTCGAACGATAATAAATACCAACTATGAAAATTCATTTTCCGATCGTTTTAATTAGGATGTCCTAATCATTTTAATTTAAGTCAAGTATACTCCGCCAAGATACTAAACTGCCGCACATCTCTTCACACAACGTATGTCGGCAGTAGGTGTTACATCCCGGTGATGTTCCAACTCTTCATCCATTTAAGCTATAAGGCGAAACACATGGCTTTCACAATAATTGCAAGCAATAGGTTTTATTTGAAAACTGTCTTAACACTTTGGTGAGTTGTATCACAGTTAAAACAGACGGTGCCAGACACTGATGCTACACCGTACTATTCCGACTCCACACGTCGTGCGTTGCTTTGACCAGTACAAAAAGTCTCGCTGTGACTATCATGCGAGCTACCGGTAGAGCGATTAAACAATTTATATCAGTCTACACTGTTCCCTAAAAAGGACAGTAAACGTTATGTATTATAAAACTAACGTTTACATCATCAGAGAATATCCTCAACGTCATCATACTTTATCTTGTATCTGAATAGAGAGAACAATTTCATAAATCGTCAAAATTTATCTTATATTTTATCATATACACTAACAGAATTTATCTTACACATCAACAGAATTTATCTTACACGTCATCAGAGTTTATCTTATACACTATCATAATTCATCTTAAACATCATCAGAATTCATCTTACACATCATCAGAGTTTATCATACACGTCTTCTGAGTTTATCTTACACATCAACAGAGTTTATCTTACACATCAACAGAGTTTATCTTACACATCATCAGAGTTTATCTTACACATCATCAGAGTTTATCTTATACATCATCAGAGTTTATCTTACACATCATCAGAGTTTATCTTACACATCATCAGAGTTCATCTTAAACACCATCAGAGTTTATCTTACACATCATCAGAGTTCATCTTACACATCATCAGAGTTTATCTTGCACATCAACAGAGTTTATCTTACACATCATCAGAGTTTATCTTATACATCATCAGAGTTTATCTTATACACTATCATAATTCATCTTAAACATCATCATAATTCATCTTAAACATCATCAGAGTTTATCTTACACATCATCAGAGTTTATCTTATACACTATCATAATCTTAAACATCATCTTAAACATCATCAGAGTTTATCTTATCACATCATCAGAGTTTATCTTATACACTATCATAATTCATCTTAAACATCATCAGAGTTTATCTTACACATCATCAGAGTTTATCTTACACATCAACAGAGTTTATCTTACACATCATCAGAGTTTATCTTATACATCATCAGAGTTTATCTTATACACTATCATAATTCATCTTAAACATCATCAGAATTCATCTTACACATCATCAGAGTTTATCTTACACATCAACAGAGTTTATCTTATACACTATCATAATTCATCTTAAACATCATCAGAGTTTATCTTACACATCATCAGAGTTTATCTTATACACTATCATAATTCATCTTAAACATCATCAGAATTCATCTTACACATCATCAGAGTTTATCTTACACATCAACAGAGTTTATCTTATACACTATCATAATTCATCTTAAACATCATCAGAGTTTATCTTACACATGATCAGAGTTTATCTTATACACTATCATAATTCATCTTAAACATCATCAGAGTTTATCTTACACATCATCAGAGTTTATCTTATACATCATCAGAGTTTATCTTACACATCATCAGAATTTATCTTATACACTATCATAATTCATCTTAAACATCATCAGAGTTTGTCTTACACGTTATCAGAGTTTATCTTATACATCATCAGAGTTTATCTTAAACATCATCAGAGTTTATCTTACACATCATCAGAGTTTATCTTATACATCATCAGAGTTTATCTTATACATCATCAGAGTTTATCTTATACACTATCATAATTCATCTTAAACATCATCAGAGTTTATCTTATACATCATCAGAGTTTATCTTATACATCATCAGAGTTTATCTTATACATCATCAGAGTTTGTCTTAAACATCATCAGAGTTTATCTTATACATCATCAGAGTTTATCTTATACATCATCAGAGTTTATCTAACATAACATCAGAGTTTATCTTCTACATCTCTGGAGTGTATTTTATACATCATCAGGGAATTTATCTACACATCATCAATCAGGGAGAATTCTTACACATTACCGGAGTGAACATATTATCAGAGATCATCAGAGACGGACAGGCTTTACAAAAATATCTTATAACTGCGCGTGTTAATAACCGCTGAAAATCTCGATAATTATGTGACGGAGAGAAAAAAAATACCTGTATCCGTGTTACTAATTGTGAGATTTTGTTATTATGTATATTTCCAGTCATTGTGACACTTGATATCGTGGTGGAGCACTTACACACGGCGAATATAAAACTGGTTGTAAAAACTCAACTGGGGAGTGTTCGTAATTCGTTCATTAAAGATATAATATCAATCAGATAATTACTTTAAATATTTTAAATAAACATAACAGTAAATATCCAAGTTGGCGCCAGTGAGAATTTGGTCCGGTATAGGTATGTATGTACACCAAAGAGAGTCGTGATTTTGATGTAAAGTACCCGGGTGTTAAGCATGGCACAGTAAACTACATACGTATATAATCATTGTCAAACTCTGTAACATTGTAAACCATATGTGTTGGTTTTAAGAAAAAAGAAAGCACTTTTGTTTCTCATAAAAGGTGTTATAGCATCAAGATAGACCGTTGATGTAGGGGGTCTCTATCGGATTGAATTAGCGAGTTTCTTAACCTCGCAGGTGCGAAATGTGTACATGCAGGTGTATCGCATAAAGACGAACGCCACAGAGGGGTTACCTGTGGAGTTGTCACCTGTAAAATAAAACGTTTGGGGCTGTGTCATATGACTGTCCTAACTTGATTACAGGTACGCAGTTTGATTACAGGTACACACATATCAAATACTGCTCTATCTTCGAAAAACAGATTAGTTTTATCTTATGATAATATATATCATTGGAAATTACATCTCGCCAACCTTAAGACCACCTCAATCAGGATCAACATACTGTATACCGTGTGTATATATACCTCACTACAGCAAGCTGTATACCGTGTGTTTATATATCTTGGTACAGCACACTGTATACCGTGTGTATCTATACCTCACTACAGCACACACTATACCGTGTGTATCTATACCTCACTACAGCACACTGTATACCGTGTGTATATATACCTCACTACATCACACTGTATACCGTGTGTATCTATACCTCATTACAGCACAATGTACACCGTGTGTATATATACCTCACTACAGCACACACTATACTGTGTGTATCTATACCTCACTACAGCACACTGTATACCGTGTGTATCTATACCTCACTACAGCACACTGTGTACCGTGTGTATCTATACCTCATTACAGCACAATGTATACCGTGTGTATATATACCTCACTACAGCACACTGTATACCGTGTGTTTATATACCTCACTACATCACACTGTATACCGTGTGTTTATATACCTCACTACATCACACTGTATACCGTGTGTATATATACCTCACTACAGCAAGCTGCATACCGTGTGTTTATATACCTTGGTACAGCACACAGAATACCGTGTGTATCTATACCTCACTACAGCACACTGTATACCGTGTGTATCTATACCTCACTACAGCACACTGTATACCGTGTGTATCTATACCTCATTACAGCACACTGTATACCGTGTGTATCTATACCTCACTACAGCACACACTATACCGTGTGTATCTATACCTCACTACAGCACACTGTATACCGTGTGTATCTATACCTCATTACAGCACACTGTATACCGTGTGTATCTATACCTTGGTACAGCACACTGTATACCGTGTGTATTAGTTCCTCACCTACAGTTCACTAAAGGGTTAATGAACTGGAAATGTACTTTTTCCCGTACTAGATGATTATTTGGGAGTACCTAAGTGCATGTTTGTGGTACATATTCTCAGAACTCGTTACTTTTTAACTGCCAATCTTGTTACTGGTCGGTTTGGCTGCCGATGTTTTATTATTCCCATTGTTCTGTAAGATCAGGCCATGAAGGATATCTGAGGTTTACAAGTTCACTCGTTGTTTTCTTTTTATGATGTCAACCCCCCTCCCCAAAAAAAAAATCGACGGAGTATTTGTAGAATCGTGTAGACCTCGTTATCTGTAGGATCACTCCTGCAATAACACTAGGGCTCCACTGACAAACGCATCCTGACCGCGTTCACGATCGTGTGATTTACCGACACCCAAATACAACACTGTTTACTCAACGACTGTGAAAGGAGGAGATGCAAGAGGTCAAGATATGACAATGCAATAATTTGGTTTTTATTTTGCTCCCTTGCTATCGTATCGAAGGAACATTGAAGCGAAAACAGGAAGGCTAGGGAGAGAATGAGCTAAGTCGATGACGAGAAAAGTTAATATAATATCGAGGAAACAGAATACATTATCGAGAATACGATACTGAAGGTCTAGAATATGATGTCGAGGTGTGAGAATACGATACCGAAGGTCTAGAATATGATGTCGAGGTGTGAGAACACGATACTGAATGTCTAGAATATGATGTCGAGGTGTGAGAACACGATACTGAAGGTCTAGAATATGATGTTGAGGTGTGAGAAAACGATATCGAGGGAATGAAACTAGCGTAGCACCTTCGCTACTGATTCTTCAATCCCTTGTTGTGTGTAGGTATAAAAAGCGAGAGTATTGTAGCACTTTCGTTCTTTACATGCGTGTTCTCATTTTTAACGTTTTGTGCGAGGGAGAGAATGA